GCAGGGAGGCCACGTCCCCCCCCCCTCTCGTTTCTGGATCCCTGCTCCCCTCTGGGTGTGTGGGTGTGTGTGTGTGTATGCGCGTGCGTGTGTGTTTAATTTTCTTTATGGAAAAATGGACAAAAAATAGAGAGAGAGGTATTTAACTGCAATAAACTGGCCAGTGTGGCCCCGCCTTGTCTGTCTGTGTGTTGGTTCAAGTTGGGCGAGGGGACAGGTGGGGGTCCTAGGGTCTCCGTGAGGTCTAAGCTTCAGCTACAATGTGTGAAAACGGCTGGGAGAATTAAGGATTGAATTTCTCCATCGAGGCCCTGAGGTGCAGATGAGGGTTATGGGGGCTGGAGGGTTATGGGGGCTGTGGTCAAGGACGTGCCCCCTGGTGTTGGAAGGGAGGCTGGAGTCTCCCGGGTCAGGTCTTCTTGAAAACAGGGTCTATGAGCATCCCTGGCCTCTGGGGCTGAACCCTCCCCTGTGCACTAGCCAATGGTGGGGCCTGGCCTTGAGCCCCCCACCCCCCAAGGGAGGGCAGATGGCCAGAAAGCCAGGCTTGGCCCGGCAGTCTGTCGCCTCACACTGCGGCTCTGGCGCCTGTGCTGTGACCCCTGCCCTTGACAGATGAGGAAACCTGTCCTGAGTAGCCACAGTGGTGCCTGGCAGGGCTGGGGGAGACTGTCATGTCCCCAAAGAGACTGACTCACCTGCTCTCAAGATCCAGGACTGCAAGTCCACCTAGCTTTACTTTTCAGCCTGGCCACAGCCTAAATACACCTGATGGTCTCTGGTTTCCCAGAACCCTGGCTTTGGGCTTACCACTCCCTGATGCTCCTTTTGAGAGCCTGGCAAGCAAATGAGGGGCCCTAGTGAGAGTCAGCGGTGTAGAGGTGGCAGCAGCATCCCCAAGGCTCTACTCGAGATTGACTCTGGGTAGTTCCCGAGTGAGGAAGGCAGGCGTGGTGTCTAGTAGCCCGTCTCAGTCACAGTTCCTTAATGGCTCGGGCCATGCACAGGCCAAAGGATCCAGGTAATAGATAGGAACCAGGACACCACATGGGTTTCAGTAGTACTCCAAGAACCAACTGCAAACACCCTGAAGTGTGTGCTGTGTGCCAATTTCTGTGGTGTAAGTTCTCCCAACGTGGCAATTGAGAAGGTTCTGGCCTAATACCACTGCACTTGGAGGTGTGTGGTGGGCATAGTCTGCTCTGCCAAGCCAAGTCTAACCTACTGCTGTGTCCCTTGTGCTTAGTGGGAGATGGAAGTTTGATAAATAGATCAGGCCAGGCTCCTGGGGTCAGTGACGAGAAGGCAACTGTAAACCTAAGCACTTAACCAGTGTTAGGTTCCCCACTTGGAGGCCTAGCAGCACTAGCTGTTAACACGAAAGACGTGGTGAATTAGTGCACACTGGCCTTGTCTGTCTGTGTGTTGGTTCAAGTTGGGCGAGGGGACAGGTGGGGGTCCTAGGGTCTCCGTGAGGTCTAAGCTTCAGCTACAATGTGAAAGAATGAAGTCGCTCAGATGCTGGGCTGTGAAACGTGTTGGCTCTGGCCATGAATAATACCATAGGCAAAAGGGGACTTCAACACAAGAGCTACATCGTGTGGTCTGGACACTGGGCACCATGTCCATGGGATAGCCTATACTTGGGCATCTGTCTGTCCCGATTCACGCTAGAATGCACCCTGCACATGCATTCCCCATTGCTGGGTCTTTCTGAGGAGCCCAGTGAGTGACAGCCATAGTGAAGACACTGATAAGGGTGAAGGGCAATGTCCAGGGGAAAAGGGGAATTTTTCTGGGATCTACAGTGTGACATCACAGGCCGCTGGCTGGAGGCTTGTGTTCATGGCCCTAGCTGCCCCACCCCCTGGATGCACCTCTGCTGGCTCAGGGTGACACAATTCTGTCCCCTGCCACTCTGTTCCCGCTTATCTCTGCCGCCAGTTCGGCGCCACTGTCTTCTTGGAAATGGGTCAGGGCAAAGGGGAGGGGGGCTCAGGTGTCCCCTCCTCCAACTGGTCCCATAAAAAGGACTAGGACTGGGTCGTAGACACCAGGCAAGTCCTTAGACTGCACAGCCAGCGGGACGGAAGGCACGATGGCGCAGAGCACTAAGATCCAGGCCGCCTGTCTCCTGCTGCTCCTCATCGCTCCTCAGTTACTCAGGGCAGCTACTGAAGGGACGAGGGTGGGCCTGAGTGGACGGCTGAGGCACTCCCTCTAGCTGCACAGGTATTGTGGAATGTGAGCGTGAGGAACATGCTGGAAGCCAGACAAAATGTTCCTCAGGCTGCACCGTTCCAGTCAGGGTGTGCTCCTTAAACTGCCTGTAAATGACCATTTAGAAAACAGCTATTTGTGGGTAGCATGGGAGAAAGATGCTGGGCCGAATTGACTGCTCTAAGGAAGGCCCAGAGGTGGGGCCACGAGGCAGGAAGCCAAGCCAAAGTGTTTTATAAGAAAATGATGCAGAGGGCTGGAGAGGCTGCTCTGCAGTTAGAGCACACAGGACCCAGGTTCAGTTCCTGGCACCTACATGGTGGCTCACAGCCATCTGCAACTCTAGTTTCAGGGCATCTGATGCCTTCTGACCTTCATAGGCACTAGGCATGCATGTGGTACACATGCAGACAAAACACTCATCCACACGAAAGAAATCTGTAAGAAAGAAAATGCTACAGAGCCAGGCTTGCTGTAAGCACTCAGAAAATAGAGGAGGACCAGGAGTCCACAGTTATCCTGGCCTACACAGCCAGTTCAGTGCCCATCTGGGCTATGAAAACCCTGTCACAAACAACAACAAAGATACTAGAGGTGAGCCTTGGCGCTGAGACAGCAGAGTGGGCACTCAAGTGGCAGGTGACCACAGGACCCTTGGATCTGTAGGGTCTGATAAGTGGAGTCAGTGTTGGAAGTGAGGAGAGGGTGGGGGTGGTTCTGATGGTGCCAAGCTTTGTAGACAGCTGTGCAGATGATAACTGGCCCTGGGGTGGCTGAGAAAGGGACAACCACAACCCAGCTGATGGCGATATAAGCTACTGTGCTATGTGGTGACCTGATTTTTTTTTCTTTCGAGACAGGGTTTCTCTGTGTAGCTTTGGAGCCTATCCTGGCACTCGATCTGGAGACCAGGCTGGCCTCGAACTCACAGAGATCCGCCTGCCTCTGCTTCCCTAGTGCTGGGATTAAAGGCATGTGCCACCAACGCCCGGCTTGGTAACCTGATTTTAAGGGACGAGATGTGGAGAGAACTGTCGGGAGGGTCGTGTCCAGAAGGAGGAGAGTACAGTAACAAAGAAAGTGGGGTGCTCTTACCAAGCAAAGCGCCCAAGGAATGACGGGCAAAACAAGGCAGTGAGGTCTCTTGGAGGAATCCCATCCAAACACACATCCCTAAGGCCCCCGGCGAAGGAACAAGTTGGCAGAGCCAAGTCAGAAACCTGGGCTGGAGACTCAGCAATACTCAAGTAATCCTTTCCTCTTTCCCAGGTGAGACAGCCTGAAGCGCTACAGCCTCAGCACAGGACAGCAGACCAGACGGACAGGACGGACAGGACGGTAAGAGCAACTGGGACTCCTCCCATGATTCCCCTGCCTTTCCCATGTCCAAGCAAGGCAACTCATTTCCCCTTCTTCCTTTCCGCGCAGCTCCTGATCCCAAAACGAACAAAGCGCGACAGCCACTTCCCAATCTGCATTTTTTGCTGTTACTGCTGTGGCAACTTTAAGTGTGGCGTCTGCTGCAAAACATAGAGCCGAGCCAGCCGTGCGCCCCATCTCCCAACATCCCCTGCCTCCCCTCCACCCGACCCCCATTTATTTATGAGTTTGAAATAAAGGTGACCATTTTACTTTCAAACTGTGGTGTCTGCTATTTCTTTGCCCTTAACAAAGGTTTCTGGACTGGTTGCAACCCCCGGGGACAGTCACTCGGTAGGACACGCAGGTCTGATGCACTGAGGCTGCTAGAAACCTGGACAAAACTATTTGTTGTCTGCTCTTCATTTTTGTCCCCATTTCCGAAGATGTGGAGTCTTTGCAGCAACACGGGAAGAAAGCTGAATAGACTTGCCTCTCCTCAGTCTTGTTGTTTCTTTCTAAAAGATTTTTATCAAAAAAAACCCAAACAATGTTTTCAAACTGTGTGTGTGTGTGTGTGTGTGTGTGTGTGTGTGTGTGTACACATGTAGTAGAAAGAGAAACCCCAGCTGGCATGAAACTTGCTTTGTCAAACTCACAGAGATCCTCCTGCCTCTGCCTCCTGAGTCTCGGGACTAAACATATGCACCACCAATGTCTAGCTAGGTCACTTTTTTTCCCCTTGGTTTTGGTTTTGTTTAGTTTTTTGTTTTGTTTTGTTTTGTTTGTTTTATTTTGTTAGTGTTTTGTTTTTGAGACAGGGTCTCTCACTGAGCCTGGAGCTCACTGATTCCCCTAAACTGTCTGGCCATTAAGTCTCTGGGACCCACCTGTCTCCTCCCCAGCTTGTAATGTGGGTGTTGGGATTCCTGTCTGTGCTTGTACAGCAAATACATTACCCACTGAGCCATCTCTCCTGTCCGATTGCTCTTCTTTTAAGAGAGACATACAGAGACATGAGATGTAATTCTCTACCGCCCCAGCTTGTATGATTCCAACAGTTTTAATGATGAGAAAGGCCACTGATCATTTGGCCTTTGTTGAATCCTGGAACAGAATAACAGCCTAATATCCATGTCCAGAGGCAAGCCACTCTGAGAAGGGCATCTGACTTGGTCAAGACAGTCTGGAAAGCCTTCATGTGAGATATACTAACACTTTAAATGTTGTCACCTAAGCTGGGAATGGCAATTCAAACCAGTAGCAATAATGAAAACAAAAAGTTCTTTTCCCCCCAGTATTAGGTGATCAAATATAGGCCCACACAGAACAGCCAAATACTTATTCCAAGTTATACCCTGAGCCCAGAGAAACTTCTTTTTATTTATTTTTCAAACAGGGTCTTGTGTTGTCTAGCCTGGCTTTGCACTCTCTAAGTAGCCAAGGATGATTTCTGACACCCCCCCACACACACATCTCTCCCTCCTGAGTTCTGGGTTTGTAAGTATGTGCCATCATATAATGCTGAGAATCAAACCCAGGGCCTGTGCATTCTAGCAAGCACTGTACTAACTTTGCCTACATCTCTATCCCTATATGTAG